CTCCTGCAGGTGCTACAGCCACAGACACTAAAGACCCAGAAAAGAAAGTTCTGGCCACCAAAATCCTTGGCATTGTAAAACAGTTCAACATCAGAAACTGATAGGATTTTTTCAGTGGAAGTGACATTAAAGAAGAGGCATCACCATCTGCTTTCCTGTTGTACTTTAAGGACCAGGGGACTTTTCCATCTGAGGTCAGCTGAAACCTTCCATGTATGTTTTCTTCCCCCGGTAGAATGGGAGTTCCTTGAAATCAAGAACTATATAACTTTTCATTTTGGCTGTTGTCAACAAATCCCCAGCACATTCTCTTTCCTTCACCAATGAATATAGTGCCTGGCTATCAGCCGTTTTCTTCTCCCCAGCTCCTGCTATCTTATAAGGGACTTCAACATAGCCTCCAAATACTCCCTCAAATACCCTAACTTCCCAGTTCCTCAGCTTCTCACTTCTCATGAACTACTCCTCCATTCCATCTTAGCCACAGTATTCAACTTAACTTGTTCATGAACTCTGAAATACTTCTTTCTATCTGTTCATTATTTTAATCATAATAGAATGATCAATTCTAGCTTTCTCTGCCTTATGCCTTAAAACCACAACCATGCTTTGTCCTTTGACCTCCATTCCCTCCACTCTTCTGGTTTTTTTCTCCCAGGAGATCACCCCTATATTGTCTACACTCTCCTCCTTTCCCTATCTTGACCCTTCAGTGAACCAATTTAACCCTACACTAGGGATTCTGTGGAGCTAAAATTAGCAAGTGAATTCCAGGGAATATGGTACCATCTCTGCAAAGGGAAGGAGGTAGGAGATAAAATGTACAAGAAGTAACTTGTAGAGTATTTTAAATGAATGAATTAATGAAGCATTTGTTAAGGACCTACTATGTGCAAAGCTTTGTGATAAATGCTATTTCAGACAGGATTTAAATTCTCCCTGTGCCCATGGGAATTCACTTAGGCTTTTTGAGACAGATCCTTAGGAGGATATAAGGAAAATGCTTTGTAAACCTTAAAATGCTACAAATTTTCCATTATTATTTTTAATCTCCGAGAAAGCTGAACTTGTCTTTTCTAAACTTTGGGTTCTTCCCCTCCTCCATGCCCCATCTACCATTGCACTATACATCCTCTAGGTACTTAATAAATGTTTATTGAAATGAAAACCATTCAACAGATCTGCATTTTGCCTGAAGTTTTACTGGAGTGTTAAGAGACTATTTAATTCTTAGGGTTGGTTAGCCAAGTTATTTGAGAGAAAAAATGAGAAATTGTACATAGAAGAAACTTTAGAATGCTAATGCTTCTAACAGTTGATCACATACTTAGCCAGCCAGGTGATACAGTAGAGACCTGAATTCAAATGTAGCCTCAGATATTTCCTAGCTATCTGACCTGGGCAAGTCCTGTAACCGCTATCTACTTCAGTTTCTTTCATTATAAAATGGGGGTCATCATAGAACCTAACACACAGAGTCGTTGTGAGGATTAATTGAGATAAGATTTCTAGAAGTGCCTAGTACATTTTGTTGTTAATTGATGCTATTTTTTTAGTCATTTTGATCATGTCCAACTCTTTGTGATTCTTATTTGGGGTTTTCTTGGCAAAGATACTGGAGTGGTTTGTCATTTTTTTCTCCAGCTCATTTTACAGATGAAGAAACTGAGGCAAATAGGTGAAGTGACTTGCCCAGGGTCATGCAGTTAGTGTCTGAGGCCAGATTTGAATTCAGGAAAATGAGTCTTCCTCATTCTAGGCCCAGGGCTCTATCCACTGCTACACCTAGCTGACACCTGGCTCATATGGTAGGTGCTTAATAAAGGCTTGTTCCCTTCCTTTTCCCCTGTTCAAGAAAACTGAGTATTATACGCTTGCCTGTCTTTCCCTAACTAGTCATAAGATGTCACTCTAGCTCCACCCTATTAAGAGTTTTCAAATTACTTTTTTAAAAGAAAAACTTTTTTTTTTGGCAATTCTTACAGTAAAAACATATCCAGGAAGTCTAGAAAGCAAAATCAGCTAATAGAGTAGTTTCACAGTAAGTTCACTGGTACAGTTTACATAGAGAGGTCTACTTCATGTTTGCTGTAGCCTCTAAAGGACAAAGTAATGAAGACAGAACCAAATATAGAATCGTCAGGTTAAAAAAAAAAGGAAACCACTTGTCAATGACTCTCCTTTACTCTCTCACTTTTGACAGGCTACTTTACTTTCCATTTCTCCTCCCACTTCTTGCCTAGAACTCTCAGCTGATCAACCAAGAGCTCTTCCACTAACTAGGTATCCAGTTTCCTCAAGACTGTGCAGAGACAAATAGCTCAAAAAGAATTTTCAGGGATTTGGAACTTCTGGATAAAACTGCAGCTATAGTAGGAGTGGACACCAGCCTTTGAAAGATGGTTGATGGAGGTGGGAGATCTTAGGTGTGAACATAAGGCTAGGGGAGAATCTGTTCAATCAGTTAATGGACTTAATAAATGCTAATACAAACTCTGTACTGCTGTGCCCTGGGGATCTTCATTTTATTTTGTGGTGGTTTGGAGTGGGGAACACACTTGTGATTTCATAGGGAACTTCAAATCAAGAAATTCCTTCTAACAATACAGATCAGTATCTGCTGCGCCATTGATTGTCTTAGAAAGTTTCCAAGAACATTGAGAGGTTAAGTGACTTGTCTAGGGTTACACAGCCAAAATGTGTAAGAAGTGGGCTTTAGCCTGGGTCTTTTGTACTCCAAGACCTGGTGTATCTACTACACTACGCAGCTTCTCGTGGGGATACAACATTGGGAATACAAATAAAAAAAGAGATAGACCCAGGCCTTGAGGAGCTTATATTTGAAAGAGCTATATTACCTTTTAGAAATACTTTGTATCAAAACAGGGACATCAGAGAAAGAAAAAGGATGGCAATAGGAAGAGGATGGCTTAAGACTTAGAGATGCACCGCTAAGTAAATGGAAACTCCTCAGGGGTCTTAGAAAGAGGGACTAAAGCTGGAACTGTAGGCTGGAGGAGGAAGCACAGGAAAATGACAGGTCTTCTAGCCCAGGGAGATTTGGAAGAGTTAAGGAGGAGAAGGGGTAAGAGGGGAGGGGGACATGAATGAAAAAGCAATCAAGTATTTACCTTGTGCCCCAAACTAGGGAAGGGGAGGAGAGAGAATGGAGCCTGAATGAATGAATGAATGAATGAGCATTTATTAAATGTTTATTATGTTCCAAACACTAAAGAGGGGTAGGCATGAATGAATGAATGAATGGAAAGGCATTTCTTAATAAATGTGCTAGGGAAATTGAGGGAATGCCCATCAATTGGGGGATGGCTGAACAATTTGTATTATATAATTGTGATGGAATACCATTGTATAATAAGAAATGATAAGCAAGATGCTCTCAGAAAACCTTTGAAAGACTTACGTGAATTGATGCAAAGTGAAATGAGCAGAACAAAGAGAATGCCATACACAGTAACAGCAATATTGTACAATGATCAACTGTGAATGATTTAGCTATTCTCCACTACACAATGATCCAAGATAATTCAAAGAACTTATGATGAAAAATGCTATCCACTTCTAGAGAAAGATGATGGAGTCTGAGTGCAGATCAAAGCTTACTTTTTCTTTACTTTCTGTCTTTTTCTTTTTTATCTTTTTGGTCTGTGTTTTCTTTCTCAATATGACTAATAAGGAAATCTGTTTTGTAAGACTGCACATGTATAACCTATATCAGGATCCTTGCCTTCTCAATGAGGGGAGAGAGGAGGGAAAAAGAGAGAGAATTTGGAACTCAAAAAAAATGTTAAAATTGTTTTTACATGTAATTGGGGAGAAACAGAATAATGAATGTATTTTAAAAAAAATTAAACGTTCGGGGCAAGTAGGTGGTGCAGTTGATAGAGCCAGCCCTGGAATCAGGAGGACCTGAGTACAAATCCTGCATCAGATACTTATTAGGTGTGTGACTCTGGGTAAGTCACTTAACTCACAAAAAAAGAAAAAGATTACTAAAAAAAATTAATATTCCAGGAAAAGAAGGTGAGGAAGTGGAGGAGATGAGAAAATAGGAAACGGGAAGAAGAGAGAGGCAAAGTAGAAGGAGGGAAGGAGGGGAATGGGAGGAGAATGAAGAAAAAGGTGTATGAGAAGAAAGGGAGGGAGAGGGAGGGAAGCAAAGGGGAAGAGGAAAGAAAGAGAGAAGCAGGAAGAGAGGTAAGAGAAGGAGAAAGGGAGGAGAAGGGGGAAAGGGAGGAGGAAAGGGAAGAAGTGGGAGGAGGGGAAAGAGGGAGAAAGTAGAAGAGGAGGAGAAAAAAGGAAGAAAAAAGTGAAGAGAAAAAAGATGAGAAAGTGAAGAAGAGGAATAAGAAGGGGAAGAGGGGAGGAGGGGAGGTGGGAGAAAGGGAATCAAAAAGAAGAAAGGAGAGAGGGAGAAGAGGATGAGAAGAAGAGGAAGAAGGATGGGAAGAGAAGATAAAGGAAAAGAGAAGGGAAGAGCGGAGGACAGCAAAAAATGAGAAGGGGAGAAGACAGAAGAGTAAAAATGAAAAGGGGAGAAAGAGGGAAGGAAGGAGAGAAGGGTAAAGGAAAAGAGAAAGAGGGAACGAGATGGAAAGAAGGAGGGAAGGACAAGAGGAGGGGAGGAGTGTAGAAGAGAAAGGAGGGAGGTGGAGGTTAAAGGAGAAGAGAGAGGAGAAGATGAGGAAGAGAAGGGGAGGACAAAAGGAGGTGAGGAGAAGAAAGGGAAGAAGGTGAAGAAGACGGGCAGGAGAAGAGAAAGAGGGGAGGGGAGGAAAGGAGGAGATGGTGAAGGAGGAGAGAAGATGGAGCAGGGAGGACGAAAGAAAGAGAAGAGGAAGGAGGGTGAAGGAGGTGAAGAGGAGGGTGGAAGAGGAGGGGGAGGATGGCGAGGAGGAGGCGGCGGCCGCCGAGCTGCGGGACCCGCCTTGGCCAGCAGAGGGCGGAGGGAGCCGAGTCCCGGAGGCTGAAGTTCGGGAGCCAGAGCTGCTCCTCTGTCCCCAGGCCGGGCCTCGGGGGAGGTCAGGGTGAGGGGGTCCCAGACCGGCTTCTGAGGAGGAAGTCACGTGGGGCTGGGGCTCACATGACCGGCTTCGAGATGGACCGGCCGCTTCCCGCTGAGGCGGCGGCTGCGGATCTCGCGACGGCAGGTGGGAGGATGGGGGGCGGCCCGGGGCCGGGCCCCGCGGGGACTCCCCGGGGGCTGCGGCGGCGGCGGCGGCGGCGGCGGCGGCGGCTGGGCGCCCGGCTTCCCCCGGCGCTGCTGGCGCGGCCCGGGAGCCCCGCTGCCCGCCCGCCCGCCCTTCCCGCCCGGAGCCACCCCCCCCCCGCCCCCCTTGGCCCCCCCCTCCCCCCCCCCCCCCCCCCCCCACCCGAACTTGGAGGGACTTTTGTTCCAGCCGCTTTAACTTTGAACAGTTTTCTCATCTGTAGAATGGGGATCCTAACAGCACTGACCTCCCAGGGTGGTTCTGAGGCTCGAATGAGATACTGTTGAAAAGCGCTCTGCAAACCTGAAAGTGCTCTAAAATTCGAGGAGGAGGAGGAAGAAAATAATAATTTCAAGATTCTCCCCACCTGGCCGAGCCCAGAGCTTGAGGAAGGAAAAGGCGGGGGCGGGGGCGGGGGCGGGGGCGGGGGGGGGCAGAAGACTCGTGCTCTAGCGGGACCCAGAGGCCGGAAACCTTGGGCTCTCCCAGCCCTGGTCCTGCCCTGCCTGCCTGCCCCCCGCCGGGTTACCTGTTTGAGCCCCGGCCAGAGGCAGATTTTTTTGGAACCACGATTTCCTAAATTGTAAATCGAAGGAAACGTTTAAGTATGAAAAAGTCAGCCGGTATGTGGGGGAGGTATAGGGGAGACCACATCTCTGGTGTTTTAATAAATTCTTTATCTAATGCAGCCAGTAAAGTGAGGACTGTCAAGTGGACTAGATAGGATTCCAGTCAATTCCATTTTCTGTTTAAGTGCCTGGTGTGTATACAAGGATCTTAGATGGTCTCCAAGGTTCCTTTCTGCTTAAACTGGTCTTGATTTATTTAAACTATTTTTATTTATTTGAACTAGGATGGTTGTCATGAGAAGTAGAAAGGAGATAGGTGGAAGAACTATTATTGAAGAGATAGGCTTGAACTTGGCAAATGATTTCTTTGATTTATAATTTGGCAAATTTGATTTATAATAACAGCTAGCATTTCTATAAGCACTTTTTTAATGTTTGCAAAACTCTAATATGATATCTCATTTGATGCTCACAACTACTCTGTGAGGGAGGTTGCAGTTATTACCTCGTTTGATAAATGGTTTGTCAACAAATAAGTCCTGGAGGTACAAGGGCAAAGCAAACAAACAGTCCCTAGCCTCAGGCAGTTCGCAATCTAATCAGAGTGACTAAGTACAAATAAGATAAATCGGAGATGATTGTGTGCAGGATAAATTGGAGGTGATTTCAAAGGGAAGATAACCAAGATTAAGGAGATCTGGAAAAGGCTTTTTGTGTAGAAGGTGGTATTTGGACTGAGACTTGAAGGAAGCCAGGGAGCCAAGGTGGCTAAGGAGAGTGTTCCAGCCATAGAACAGAGCCAGGGAAAATGCCTGCATTTGGGAGATGGAGCGTCCTGTCCAAGGAACAAGTTAGGAGGCTAGTTTGTAGAGTATGTGAAGGGAAGCACAGTATAAAAAGACCGGAAAGATAAGGGGTCAAGATCTGTAGTGCTTTGAAAGTCAAACAGAGGATTTTACATTTTATCTTAGAAGTAATAGGGAGCCACTGGAGTTTATTGAATGGGACAGAGGGTGGCATGACCAAACCTGTTCTTTAGGAAGATTACTTTGACCTCTGAGTGGAAGATGGCCAGGAATAGACAGGAAGGCTACGACAATAGTGCAGGAATGAAGTAATGGGGGCCTGCATCAGGGTAGGGATAGTCAGAGGAGAAAGTTAGATAAATATTAGAGATGTCATAAAGGTAATTGAGACCCAGAGAGGTTAAATTTCTTGCTTAGAATCTACAAAACTACTAAGTGTCTAAGGTAGGATTTGAATTCAGGTTTTCCTGACTTCAAGTCCAGTACTTGACAACCTTTAATCACATCACTTACCTGTTGCTATTCTTTTCCTAATTAACTTCTTTTGTTTAGTACAGTGATTGGCACAAAGTAGGAATTTAATAAATGTTTATTGACTAACAGACTTTGCTTCCTTTAGTTACAACACCCACCAATTCCAGAGATTCTAGAGTTACTCTAGCTTCTGACTCTCCATCTCATTCTTCTGAACAAACTTCAACCACTACACTTCTAGGAAGATCCAGCCTTCTAATACTGGTACTCCAAGATTCTAGGAAAATCCTCACCCTATTTTGTTGGAGATGGTAGAGGCCCAGGAACTCTTTGAAAACAGTGTTGGATTAGAAATCAGGAGGCCTAGTTTCTAACTTTGAGTTTTAGGAAGTCATATATAACCTTTCTGAGCCTTGGCAAAATGGGGTAATAATACTTGTCCTGCCTAAGAGTTGTTATTCAATTTCAAGAGTATTCCAAGTATCTGACATACCAAAGACACTATGCTAGGTGGTAGGGATATGAAGGTAGGCAAAACAGATTCTGATCTCTTGTAGCTTGCATCCTAATTAAAGGGGGATAGGGGCAGGGAAAGGACTGGTACACAGATAAATAGTGCATAAGAAAATTAAAAGTTCGGAGAAATGGTCTGGATTCAATGCTGTGAGAAATCTGAGGAGAAAGGAATACTTTCCCCTGAGGGGAGGGAGGAATCAAGGAAAGCTTCAAGATCGGGGGAATTTTCACTTGAATCTTTCGGGGGAGGGAGTGACTTCAGTTGATAGATAAAGTGGGGTGGGAGAAGGAAGATTGTGAGCTGAGGCCTGGTGATTAGAGAAGGAAGGACAATAGCTGGAACTCTGTGAGTAGTCCAGATTGACTGAAAGGAGAATGCATGAAGCAGAGTGTTAGGAGATAAACAGGGACAAGATTGAGAACTTTTAATTCCAGAATTAAGAGTTAATCCTTTATTCAGCAGACAGTGGAGAGCTACTAAAGGTTTTAAGTAGAAAGATCATTTGGACAGCAACTTGGAGGATGTATTGGGGTGAGGATAGACTGGAGGCAGGAAGACTTAATTAAGCTTTTACAGCAGTTTAGCAAGAAGAGATCTATTGGTCTGAACTAGTATGGTTGTAATGGGAGTGGAAAGGATGTGATAGGAGGAAGAATTATTATTAAAGACAGAGAAAGGGTGGAAAAGAGGTAGAAAGGCTATTGGCAGCTAGGTGGTACAGTGGATACTATGACAAGTTGATGACAATTTTGACTAAATATGGACATAGAAATCTGATCATTGAAGCTGAGAGATTGGATGAGATTACCAAGAAAGAGTGGAAGACAAACCATATTTAAGGGCCAGAATGGCATGAGGCACTGGTGAAGGAGACAGGAGTGATCAGAGATATGAGAAGAGTACCAGACAGTTCAGTGTCCCTCAGGCCAAAGAAGAGGAAGATATCTAGAAGGTGGGGGTAGTTCACAGTCTTAGATGCTGCTGGGAGATCAAAGGATCAGGGAGATCATTAGGTTTAGAAGGTCATTAGTGACAGCAGTTTCAGTAGACTGGTGAGAATAGAATTCAGGTTGTAAGGAATTGAGGGTGTGTGTGTGTGTGTGTGTGTGTGTGTGTGTGTGTGTGTGAGTGAGAGTGTGAGTGTGATCTCAGGCAAATTGCTTAACTTCTCTGTGCTTCAATTTTCTCATCTGAAACAGGGATTTGGGTTAGATGGTCTCCAAGACCCCTTCTACAGTCCCATGTTTATCAGCAGCTTTATCTTTGTGTGTGAAACATGTGTAATGTATAGAACTGGCCAAATGGCATCCTAGATTGTGATTTGTGAGGTGTCTAAAATTCTACCCCAAATTCTTATTCTGTTGATTGTTTTTTTTTGCTTTTACTTGGCCCCCTAATTCCCACAATCCTTCCTGTCATGATTCCTTCACGATTAGACTTCTAGAAAAAATAACTACACTCAGTATCTCTGCTTCTTCACTACCCACTCATTCCTTATCCTTTTGGAATCCAACTTCTGTCTCTACTGCCCTACCAGAATTGCTTTCTCCAGTGTTATTAGTGGCTTTTTTACTGTTAAATCCAGTGGTCTTTTTGTGGCATCTGTGTATCACCAGGAGGTGACAATCCTGTTGTACTTTGCCGTATTCTGATTGAATCCAGAGTATTGTGTTCAGTTATGGGGGCCACATTTTAAGAATAATGATGTAATTGAAAAGCTTGAGAGTATCCTTACAATAGGGTAACCAGGATGGTGAAAGATTCATGTATAGGAGGATCATGTGAAGCCATTGGAGATATGTAACCTGGAGAAAATTTATGGGCATATTCATTCAGCTAACATTTCTTTTTTTTTTTCTTTAGGCAATTGGGGTTAAGTGCCATGGTCACACAGCTAGTAAGTGTCAGGTGTTTGTTCCGAGGCCGGATTTGAACTCAGGTCCTCCTGACTTTAGGGTCGGTGCTCTATCCACTGTGCCACCTAGCTGCCCCTCAGCTAACATTTCTTAAGTGCTGATTATGAGCCAGGCGTTGTTAGATACTGAGGATACAAAGTCAGAAATAAAACAGTCCCTTTCATCAGGGAGTTTACATTATGTTGCAGGGAAAAACACAAACCCAGATGAGTAGATACGAAACATATACAAAAGAAATACAAGAAAAAAAATTTTTTGGGGGGGGGGGGGGGGACAAGCAGCTGAAGGGATTGAGTCAAGTCAGTAAGAATTTAAGTGCCTTCTGTGTGGCAGGCACTGTACTAAGTGCTGGATTGGGGAAGGTCTCACGTAAAAGATGAGCTAAACCTTGAAGGAAATTAGAGATTCTAAGAGGCAGAAATAAGAAAGGCATGAGGGAGTACTCTGTGCAAAGACTCATACGTAGGTGGGAGATATCTAAATATTTATCTATCTTTCTGTATGTATATCCCCAGTCCTAGTGTGTTAATGTCTCTGTCTTGTCTCCATGCCTCTGCTTATACTGTTCTTCTCTTTTCCTTTCTTATCAGTTAAAGTCCCTCTCTTCCCCCAAGATCCAACTCAAAATTAAAATGAACAAGAAGCTTTCCTTGATCCC